AACATTTATGAGCGTCAAAAGTGCTGGATCTGTTTGGCAAAATATTTGACTGCGGGTCACTGCAAATCAAACGACTCAAAGTGAAGTTTATTCACAAACTAATTTCGAGAGGATCACGTGCTTATGATTGACACGGCTGGCCCCGAGTCAAGCTAATGTACGAACCACCAATCAGACTATTCCTAACCAAGTATAAATAACCAAACACCTTACCTTAAGTCATCTTCGTCCTGAAGAATCCCCCCTTCCACCCCTTCGCCTCCTCCTTTGTCTACAGGGCAGCACGGCGGCCCAGTGGCTAGCACTGCGGCCTCACAGCAAAATGCCTCCGCTTCGGGCATCTACCCAAACGGTCAGCATTTTCTTGTGGTGTTCATGTTCTCCTTGTGCTTGCGTGGGTTTTCCCCGGGTCCTCCGGTTTCCTCCCCCACTCCCAAAAACTTGGCACTTAAGTAAATTGACTAAACCAAATTAGCACCAAATTCGATTCAATTCTGTCAGCAACGCATCACCTTAGCAACCCTCACGCAGCAGGAGGGAGGGGGGTTCTCGAGATCTACCAGAGCTCAAACTCCCCTCTCGCCCTGCAACGGGAGGGAGCCCCGGGCTCAAGGCTCTCATGAGCTCGGGGCTCTCTCCCAGGACAGCATGCCAAACTAGCTTATCAACAATCATCAGCTAAGTGTGAACTCTTGAAATAATAAAAAAAAATAAACTAAAGCTATGTCCACTGTGCTGAGCGAAAACCCTTCTCTTCTGTTGAACTGAATTGTCACATCATCGATGACGAAGGGTGCTCCGGCTCTGAAGGCAAAAAGTGCAATGTGAGTGCGGGCCAAGGGGGAGAATGGAGGGGGGACAATCATGCTTGGGCACAGTTCAAGACGATCGTGCCCAGTGTGAGCACACCCTCATTATGCCTGACAAGCTGTTTGCTATTCAAACTATAGTTGCACTGAATGACATTATGGTGGGTGTTTTTGTTTTGCTAATGGTGCTTGAGTTATTATAATTTGGTCAGAAAAAATAGACTTGCTGCATTATACCCTTGTTTTGATGTCTTATTTGTTTGTATGTGAAACAGAACGTTTGTACTTCACTATTGCATCATGAAATCCTCAGTGTCTCCTGCACTTGAGACAGAATAGACAGAGAAAGAGAGAGAGAGTCATACAGAAGTTGTTTAAATCAGCAAGACCTTTGACCTCCGCCCTCATAAACTTCCTGTTGAATCAGCAGGCGTCAGTGTGTGTTATATGAGTGATGTCATCGTTAGCCGTGCTAAGTGTCACTGCTGCTCTGATGAAGTGTTAGCGAGTAACTCACAGTTTTTAGTGGAGACCTGCTGGATGGCAATATTTTAAACAAAATCCAAGCGATTTGCAACCTTAGCAACTACATGCCCTAGCCGTAAATCTGAGCATGTAACTCTGTGGGCACATTTTTTTCTTCTTTAGTAAACAGTTTGTGACAATTTAAGTGATTTGAGGTGGCTCAGTGGTTACACCGTCGCCTCACAGCAAGAAGGTCACTGGTTTGAGCCTAGGCTGGGTCTGCTGGCATTTCTGCGTGCCGTTTGCTTGTTCTCCACGTGTTGACGTGGGTTTCCTCCAGGTGCTCCGGTTTCCCCCACAAGTCCAAAGCAACCCAGGCTCATTTTGAAAACGTAGTCCTGGATGTTTCTGGAGATCTCCAAATACGTCCCAGGAGGTACATATTGTTGCAGTTTTTGTTTTCGCGAATCCACCAGAGGTCGCTGTGTATGCTTTTTGAGATCTCAAATTTCTCTTACGAATGCCATTCGCGCCTGCTGTTCTCGCGTAAACCCACCAAAGGCTGCTGTGGACTGACTGTCTGTCCGACTGACTAACTGGCTGATTGACTGGCTGGCCGACTGACCAATCAACTGACCCACCCTCCTCCTTCCCTAAACCCAACCAATTTTATTGACTGACCCGCCCACCCACTTACTTCCCTAAACTCAACCAACGACTTACAAAAGCCGTCCAGATAAAGAAAAGCCCTCGTCTTTGTGGTCAACTCCCTTCTGTGTCTCAAGTCCGCTGACGTACACAACGGACTAACTGGACAAACTGGTTGCATTGGGAAAGCCGTCCACATGGAGGTAAGCGGTCAGCTGGTAAGCGCGAAACGGCCCCGTATTGGTCGTTAAAAAAATGAGATGCAGCCATACAGTACCATTTGTGCCCGCTGTTCTAGCATAAACCCACCAGAGGCCACTGTTGACTGACTGAATGACCGACCAACCAATCGACTGACCCACCCTCTTCCTTTCCTAAACCTAACCACTTTTATGGACTGACCCGCCCACCCACTTACTTCCCTAAACCCAACCAACGACTTACAAAAGCCGTCCAGAAAAAGAAAAGCCCTCGTCTGGTTTTTACCACATTTTCGGATTTTACCACATTCTCACCCTGTTATTCACTTGTTCATTTTATTTTTTGGATTCTTGGTTTTTTGTCTGTCTTACCTGATATCTGGAACCGCTCTTCCCCAGACTCGAACCCAGTCGTCCTTGTGGTCAACTCCTCTCTGTGTCTCAAGTCCGCTGACGTACACAACTGACTAACTGGACAAAATGGTTGCAGTGGGAAAGCCCTCCACGCGGTGGTAAGCGGTGGACTGGCAAGCGCGAAACCGTCCCGTATCGGTCGTTAAAAAAATGAGATGCAGCCATACAGTACGTACCTCCGGCTACATCATTTGCGGTCTCCAGAAACGTCCATGGTACTATGTTTTCCGAATGAGCCTGTGTTGGTACAAAGACATGTGCTATAGGTGAAATAAACTAAATTGGCAATGGTGTATGTGTGTGAATGAGTGTGTATGGGTGTTTCCTAGTACTGGGTTGCAGCTGGAAGGGCACCTGCTGTGTAAAACACAAGCTGGATAAGTTGGCGGTTCATTCTGCTGTGGCGACCCCTGATGAATAAAGGGACTAAGCTGAGGGAAAATGAATGAATGAATGAATAAGTGAATTGATAGTAATGTGTCGATCTCTGTGACCGTAAACCTATGGACGTTTCTGGAGATCGCCAAATACGTCACAGGAGGTACATATTTTCGCGAATCCACCAGAGGTCGCTGTGTATGCTTTTTGAGATCTCAAATTTCTCACGCGAATGCCATTTGTGCCCGCTGTTCTCGCATAAACCCACCAGAGGCCACTGTTGACTGACTGTCTGACTGACTGAATGACCGACCAACCAATCGACTGACCCACCCTCTTCCTTTCCTAAACCTAACCACTTTTATGGACTGACCCGCCCACCCACTTACTTCCCTAAACCCAACCAACGACTTACAAAAGCCGTCCAGAAAAAGAAAAGCCCTCGTCTGGTTTTTACCACGTTTTCGGATTTTACCACATTCTCACTCTGTTATTCACTTGTTCATTTTATTTCTTGGATTTTGGTTTTTTGTCTGTCTTACCTGATATCTGGAACCGCTCTTCCCCGGACTCGAACCCAGTCTCCTTGTGGTCAACTCCTCTCTGTGTCTCAAGTCCGCTGACATACACAACTGACTAACTGTACAAACTGGTTGCAGTGGGAAAGCCCTCCACGCGGTGGTAAGCGGTGGACTGGCAAGCGCGAAACCGCCCCGTATCGGTCGTTAAAAAAATGAGATGCAGCCATACAGTACGTACCTCCGGCTACATCATTTGCGGTCTCCAGAAACGTCCATGGTACTATGTTTTCCGAATGAGCCTGTGTTGGTACAAAGACATGTGCTATAGGTGAAATAAACTAAATTGGCAATGGTGTATGTGTGTGAATGAGTGTGTATGGGTGTTTCCTAGTACTGGGTTGCAGCTGGAAGGGCACCTGCTGTGTAAAACACAAGCTGGATAAGTTGGCGGTTCATTCTGCTGTGGCGACCCCTGATGAATAAAGGGACTAAGCTGAGGGAAAATGAATGAATGAATGAATAAGTGAATTGATAGTAATGTGTCGATCTCTGTGACCGTAAACCTATGGACGTTTCTGGAGATCGCCAAATACGTCACAGGAGGTACATATTTTCGCGAATCCACCAGAGGTCGCTGTGTATGCTTTTTGAGATCTCAAATTTCTCACGCGAATGCCATTTGTGCCCGCTGTTCTCGCATAAACCCACCAGAGGCCACTGTTGACTGACTGTCTGACTGACTGAATGACCGACCAACCAATCGACTGACCCACCCTCTTCCTTTCCTAAACCTAACCACTTTTATGGACTGACCCGCCCACCCACTTACTTCCCTAAACCCAACCAACGACTTACAAAAGCCGTCCAGAAAAAGAAAAGCCCTCGTCTGGTTTTTACCACGTTTTCGGATTTTACCACATTCTCACTCTGTTATTCACTTGTTCATTTTATTTCTTGGATTTTGGTTTTTTGTCTGTCTTACCTGATATCTGGAACCGCTCTTCCCCGGACTCGAACCCAGTCTCCTTGTGGTCAACTCCTCTCTGTGTCTCAAGTCCGCTGACATACACAACTGACTAACTGTACAAACTGGTTGCAGTGGGAAAGCCCTCCACGCGGTGGTAAGCGGTGGACTGGCAAGCGCGAAACCGCCCCGTATCGGTCGTTAAAAAAATGAGATGCAGCCATACAGTACGTACCTCCGGCTACATAATTCGCGGTCTCCAGAAACGTCCATGGGACTACATTTTCAGAATGAGCCTGTGTTGGTACAAAGACATGCACTATAGGTAAAATAAACTAAATTGGCAATGGTGTATATGTGTGAATGAGTGTGTATAAGTGTTTCCAAGTACTGGGTTGCAGCTGGAAGGGCATCCGCTGTGTAAAACATATGCTGGATAAGTTGGTGGTTCATTCTGCTGTGGCGACCCCTAATGAATAAAGGGACTAAGCTGAGGGAAAATGAATAAGTGAATTAATAGTAATGTGTTGTAATGTTGGTCTCTCTCTCTCTCTCTCTCTCTCTCTCTCTCTCTCTCTCTCTCTCTCTCTCTCTCTCTCAGGGTTTTCCTGGTGATTTCGGGGAGCGAGGGCCGCCAGGACTGGATGGGGAACCAGTGAGTTGCCTGTTTTGATCTTTTTCCACTTACAGCAGATAAAACATTCACAACAGAGATGATGAGACCTGCACACACACATAATGCCTCAAACAGTCTCCTCAAACTGTGTGCTGCGCTCATGTGTGTGTTTTCGGGGTGAACTGCCTCTTCACGTGTGTTTGTGTGTCAGTGATGACTGTGTGTGTATGTGTGTATTCAGGGTGAACGGCCTTATCATGTCTGTTTGTGTGTCAGTGATGACTGTGTGTGTGTGTGTGTGTGTGTGTGTGTGTGTGTATATATGTGTGTGTGTGTGTGTGTGTGTGTGTGTGTGTGTGTGTGTGTGTGTGTGTGTGTGTGTGTGTGTGTGCGTGCGTGCGTGCGTGCGTGCGCGTGCGTGCGTGCGTGCGTGCGTGTAAACAGTCTTTATCTTGGCTGAATGATATTTTCCACTCAGCCACTTCTGTGCGCACACACTCAGACACACTCAGCAGCAGTGGTGGATGTTCTCTACATTTCTCTTTCTTTTAGCCGCAGTGGAAGCCAAATTGAATTTGGCGAATGCAAACAGGGCAGTGAGGGGTACGAGCTGAATAAAGCTGGATTGGCTTGCTCATAAACACTCCCTCAGCCTGATGATGTTGCTATTAGAGGGATTTTGGTTAAGAGTGAACGTTGACTGATTTGAAAGACTTCTTTGAGTGATTTTGATTGAAAGACTGATTGATTTATGCTGTGCATGGCAACACAGTGGCTCAGTGGCTAGCACTGTCACCTCAAAGCAAGAAGGTCACTGGTTCGAGCCCTGACTAGGTTGCATTCGTGTTGGCATGGGTTTCCTCCGGGTGCTCCGGTTTCCCCCACAGTCCAAACACATGTGCTATAGGTGAATTGGGTGAACTAAATTGACCTGTAGTGTATGAGTGTGTGTGTGTGGATGTGAGAGTGTACGAGTGTTTCTTAGTACTGGGTTGCAGCTGGAAGGGCATTCGCTGCATAAAACGTATGCCGGAATAGTTGACGATTCATTCCGCTGTGGCGACCCCTGATAAATCACAGACTAAGCCAAAGAAAAATGAATGAATGAATGTTAAATAATATCTTTGCCCGTTTGTTTGTTTGTTTTGGTGGTGTGTTAGATCATCTCTTTTCCCAAACAGAATTGTATTAATTTTTATTAAAAATAAAATTATTTAAATAACATTTATTTTTTTTATGTTTTGTTTTGTGTTTTTTGTTTTCTGTTTTGTTTTATTTTGTGATTTCTTTTGTTTTGTTTTATGTTTTTTTGTTATTGTTTGTTTTGTGTTTTATTTTGTTTTTCTGTTGTTTTGTTTGTATTTTGTTATTTTGTTTTATTATTTTATTTTTGTTTTGTTGTTTTTTTTGTGTTTTATTTTGTGATTTGTGTTTTTTGTGTTGTTTTTATGTTTTGTTTTGTGTTTTCTTATTTGTTTTGGACTTGTTTTGCTTTTTGTTTTATTTTATTTTGTGATGTTTTTTTGTTTTGTATTTTATTTGAGTGTTTTTTGTTTTGTGTTTTTTGTTTTTTTTGTTTTATTTTGTGATTATTTGTTTTTGTTTTGTTGTTTTGTTTTGTGTTTGATTTTGTGATTTATGTTTTTGGTGTTGTTTTTATGTTTTGTTTTGTGTTTTGTTATTTGTTTTGTTTTTGTTTTGCTTTTTATTTTATTTTTGTTTGTGATTTGTTTTGTTTTGTGTTTTATTTTGTGGCTTGTTTTGCTATGTGTTTTGTGTTTTTGATATTTATCTGTGTTTAATTTTATTATTTAGATAATTATTTTCATTCATTCATTCATTCATTCATTCATTCTGTAGGGCTTGTGTTAGATCAGCTTTTGTTAATGACTTTATGGGTTAATATTATTTTTTATCACTTTTCTGTTTTGTTTTTATAATGTGCCCTGTGACATACTGTAAGGTGTCCTTGAGTGCTCTGAAAGGCGCCTATAAATAAAAGGTATTATTATCATTATCATGTCTTAATTTCCAAAAAAAAGGATTGTTCAGTGATATATTTGTTGATCAGTTTTTTTGGGGTGGATTAAAAAATAATCCTTTCCAAAACTGCTTCTGATTGGTGCGCACAGTAGGTGACATCATAACCGGAAGTCAAACCCCACCTACTTTTTTTACCTGTAGAAGTGGGGACTTAAAACAGGAAGTTAAAAGCCCTCTTATTTCCTGTTCTTCCTTTCCTGAAAGAGGAGTGAAGTGCTCCTTTCATCCTTTCATCACACCAGGGGAAAGAGAGGAAATGGCTCCAGTGCTGCAGAGCCAACGACAAACCATCTCTGTTCCTTCAAAAACACACACACACACACACACACACACACACACGCGCGCGCGCTCATTTAATATCTGCATATGAAGAGAGTGCATTTACACAGCACACACACATACACACATATGCCGTCTGTGTGTGACGCTCTTTCTGTTTCTCTGTTGGTCTCAGGGAGTTATTGGAGCTCCTGGTCCTCCTGGTGTCCTCGGCTTGATTGTAAGTAAACTGATTTCTTTCACAGATTTGTCCCTCAAAGTGAGCTGAATGTGACAGAACTTTCTTTAAGCTGCACAAAAGTTGTTTTCATATCAGTTGACATTTCATTTCTTACATGCAAGTCCGTGTTTACGGTAGGCTTGGGAAAAAAAGATGACCTTAATAGTCAGAGATGTGTAGAGATTACATTATATGCAGGAGAAATATAATATTTTGTATTTGAATGTATGGAGGCAGTTTTTTTATTTATTTAATTCAGTAGGAATGTTTTTATTTGTTTTATTTTTCAAGCTGGAATTGTATTATTATTATTATTATTATTATTATTAGTAGTAGTAGTAGTAGTAGTAGTAGTATTGTTGTTGTTGTAGGTGTTAACATTTATTCTTATTATTATTGTTGATGTTATTGTTAATGTTGTTTTTATTTTTGTTGTTGTTGTTGTTGTTATTATTATTGTTGATATTATTATTATTATTATTAATATAATAATAATAATAATAATAATAATAAACAACAACAACATTATTGACATTATTGCCGTTTTAGCATAAGTAAGAGACAGAAACTAGCCAGACAGTGAATTGTGGAGCAGGCTAAATCTAAAAAAAATTTTTTTATTTTTTGTCAGTTTACTTTTTTTTACTTTTATTCTTGCTCAAATAAAAATATATTTGTAGAGCAATCCATGTTTTGTTGTTATTAATATTTTAATAAACTTTAATAGGTAGAATTGTCTGAGATATGAGCAAAAGCAAGTGATGCATTAACGTTTGATTTTTTAAAAAAATCTTGAATGTTTCTAAAAATCTTTATAATCATTAAAACAATTTATAAAAATAATAAAACAATTAGTTGAATAATTGTTAAAATATTGAATGATATTAATGATATGACGTAGTTCCGGAAACTTCCTACTTCTCTGTTTATCCTTCAGACTTTACGGTTAGTTTCTTCTAACCGCCCCCTGTATTAACCGCTTCAAAGAATATCACAACGGCGAACACAACAAGTATAAAAGGCTTGTTCATTTCATGAGGTCAGCGGAGGTCATCGATGTTGCGCCAGGCAAAAGTATAAATTCAGCTTAAATCATGTGCTAGATAAGTTGGCGGTTAATACCGCTGTGGCGACCCTTGATGAGTAATAGGACTAAGCCGAAAATAAAATAAATGAATGAATGAATTGGATAAATAACTTATTTCAATTAATTACAGGGGGACCAATTAAAAATGTTTTTTAATTATTTGGCATTCTATTAAATACATTAAACATACTTTAAGCCTAAAGTAACCTCAAAATTAAAAATATAAACAATTATCTAAATAAGTCACATTGCACCTGTAACTTTATTCATTATTGATGCAGGGCCTGGCTAGTAGGGATGTGCATGTAAAATCGCCATGGTATGCACATTTGTGTATGTGTGTGTGTATGTATGTGTATATATATATATATATATATATATATATATATATATATATATATATATATATATATATGTATTACTCCGCCAACATACAGCCAGCAAAAAGTAATATCATACTCGTTCGTGTGATATATATATATATATATATATATATATATATATATATATATCACACGAACGAGTATGATATTGTGTTTATACAACATTTTGACGGCATAATTGTGTATATAAAAACAAAATCAAACATGGAGAGTCTCAAAAACCCTTTTGTATGAGGAACTACTTTCTTCCACATTCAAATCATAAGCTGACAGTTAAACAGCTGAGCAAGCATTTTTTTAAACTTTAGATCTGTAGTGTCTGCTTTTTGCTGGCTGTATGTTGGCGGAGTAATACACAAAGAGTAAAGAGGCTGTAGGAGTTCTGATATTGCAGAATATCGCACGGCTATCAGCCAATCAGATTTGAGAACCAGACAGAACTGTTGTATATATATATATATATATATGTATATATATATATGAGATCATGTGTCTCCTCTTACATCAACAATACATCAAAACCCACAATATTCCCAAAAACATGTAATATTAAGCTAATCTTTCACGTAAAGTTCTTGCGAAGTGCATTGAAATGTGCATCTTTGTTCAGTGTGTGAAGGAATAGAGTAACTCTTTCCTTCAACTGCCAATAGCATTTTCTTTTCATCTTATTCTACCAATAAGAATGATGAATATAGCAATAGCATCATGAAGGGGCGGCACATGGCAGAAACTAAAAAAAAACATTGATCCATTTGGGTGGAGCAGGCTAGCTTATAGATATCCTTAAAACAAACATACTGATACTAACATCGAAATAACCGTTTGATTTCAGGGTCTTTAAAACATGTCTCATTGCTTTTTCAGGGTGATATGGGCCCCGCTGGGACAGTCGGTGTACCAGGACTAAATGGGCTGAAAGTAAGTCAAAAACAAAAACACATACACGTCCTTCGCTCAGCATCCGCTTTAGTTTATTTAGTGTACATGTTTGTGCGTGTGTGTGTTTGTTCCAGGGCGTCCCGGGGAACATGGGCGAGTCCGGACTGAAAGGTGATAAGGTGATCTGAATACTCTGTTATTGGCCTGTTTTACAGCAGCATGTGATGGAAATACTCTCTCCCCATTGGCCAGACTGTGTTACACATGTTTTTAAAAGCTCCACCCCTAATAGCACGCGTTCAGAGAGATTTTAATTTGGTTTGTCGAAAGAAATTTTGACCTTTAAATTTTAATGTTTCAGTTTTTTTTTTTTTTGCTAGTTTATAAGAGATTTGCTTCCAGATTTAAAACATTAATGGGATGTTTACATGGACACCAATAATCTGATTTTAATATGATTAAGACAATATTCTGATTAAGAATCTTCCATGTAAACAGCAATTGGATTAATTTAATTCGATAAAGGTCATAATTGAACTAAACAGAAATTGTTTTAAGACATGTGGAGGGTGCAGAAGATAGTCTATAGAAGATCTTCTATATCTAGAAGATGGAAGATAGTCTATACACATGGCTGTTTGACACTATTCTCTGCATCTAACAAGTCAGAGACACACAAATCGAGATTTGTTTCCCCATATGGCATGCTGTATACAATTCTATTGAAACTACACTCTTTCAAGAGTTCATACTCGCATCCAATATCTCGTTTGTCATGGGGGCATGCATGAAATGTTCCTGAGTGAAAGTGAAAATCCCAAACTGCAGTTAAAGTCAAAATATTTGAAATGAGACACCCGAAATTACATGAAACTCCTGAGAAAATTTAAATGCATTTAGGTGCAGTGATGCTATGATGTTAATAGGCATCACGAAAGGAACATTCAAGAAGCAACTCATGTAAACACCTTAATCATATTATTGCCTTTTTCAGATTAAGGCAAATAATTTGATTACTGATGTCCATGTAAACCTAGTCATTGATTACAATATAATATTTTTTAGTATTGAAATTTGACAGTATCTTGTAATAACCACTATTAAAACTCACAGGGTTTTTTCCCCCAATGAGTGCCCTATAAAGGGTTAAACTTGATCAGTGATAACATTTATAAAAATTTGTTTATTTTTTCCCATTTATTAAAGGGTGATTTGGTAAAAGAAACGTACTAAAAATAATATTATAAATCTATTAATTATTAAATATTTCAATTAGTATTAAATGAAGAACTTGTTTCAGTTAGTTACAAATTGACCAATTAGAATTTAGATATGTTGAAGCACTGAAAGTATTAAAGATCAAATTAAACAATAAAATAAAACCATTTACATTTAAATAATATTTAACATATTGTATCATATTTAATATATTAAACCTTAATTTATATTTTTAGATACATTAAATCAGTGAAGTTGTCTTTAAAATGGTCCAAAATGTCTGTTTAGCATTGGGACTGCTTCAGTAGGTTGATGCACAGCTTTATACTAAGACATAAATGTCCTTTTTAAAAAAAAAATTCTTTTTTAAAGATCAGCAAGCCATTTTAGTCCTGTATTGACAAACATGGATTTGTTTAAAACAAGACAAGGACTGTTAATTTAGCTAGCTTTTATTAAATTAACTTTCATCTTAAGACAATAAAGTTCCACTGACATATTTTAATGTTGCTTAAACTTATTTTGAGTTAAGATGGCTTGAACTATTTAGTCTAGGACTAGTCTTAAATGGCCTTAGAACTTGTCTGTGAAAGCAGGGGAAAATCCTCAGTTAAAAAAAAGAAAAAGTGTGTTAATTGACAAACAAATGCTGTCTATAGAAGGATGGTTCAGCCAAAAATGAAAATTGTCATCATTTACTCACCCTTTAAAATCTATTCAAATTTGGCTTTCTTCTGTTAAACAAAAGAAGACATTTCGAAGAATGTTGGAAACCTGCAACCACTGACTTCTTTAGCTTTTGTTTATTCTACATTGGAAGTCAAACTTTGTTTATTTGTAAATGTCTTCTTTTGTGTTTAGCAGAAGAACGATTGTCATCAAGGTTAGGAAACGCTTGACGGAGAGTAAATATTGGGTACATTTGAGGAAATGCTTTTTATTGACTTATTAATAACATTCAAATGGTCGGGCTTCTTCCTCTCAAACTGAAATGCATCTTTCCTAACTGGACTTTTTTTCTGCCCCATCACTTTCTCTGATCTCTTTTCTGACTTTGACTCGTTTCACAACTTATTTCTCACTTTTTCTTTGTCTTTCACTGTTTGTCTCTCAGGGTGACGTTGGGCTTCCTGGAGAACAAGGAGAGATTGGCTTCCAAGGAGACAAGGTACATCTTCACCCCATTTAACCTCTGTCAAATACGTACACATATGCAAGGCTTTACCGTAACATCTGCCAAATGTGGGTAGATTTCGGTTGTGGCGGGTTAAGGCTGATTTATACTTCTGCGTCAAACGCTGGCGTATGCTACGGCGCTGACGCATAGCCCTTCGCCATGGCCATCGCCGTCACTGACGTGCACCTCTCAAAAATTGTAACTACACGTCGCAACGACGCATAGCGCAAGCTCTGTGATTGGTTGGCTTGGTAGCGCTGACGAGTCTGGGCGGGACCGAGAGCCGCGTGAATGGCGCGAGCGATTGTTTACAAGTGTGGAGTCCCGTGAAGGAGCTCCGGATGGAAATTTTTGTTTTGTGTTTACCTCATAGTTAAAGTTGTTGCGCGTCCGCCGGTTCCTGCCTCAAAATGAGCGAGTTTGAGCCACTTGGAAGTGTTCAGGAAAAGCAAAAAAAGCAGCGAAGAAACTCGACACAGAGGAACATTTACACCTCACTGCCAACTAGCGTTTCGGAAGTGTTAATGCAGACCGACAGAGACAGCGCGCAGAAGTATAAATGCACAGTCACACGCGTTGCCTGCGCCGTGAGTTACGCTGGTCACTTGATGCAGAAGTATAAACCAGGCTTTAGACAGCCACTCCCACTAGCCACTTTGGCTGGCTGAGACTCGTTTTTGAATTGCCATTGCTGGCTCGTCGTCACTAGATTAGACTGTTAGTTTATGACCGTTTGTCTATATGTGTATAAATGTGATCTTAGAATCGAGAAGCAGCACGACTGACATAAACAGCGAGAAAAAGAAAGCAGGTGAAGAACGAATGAGAGGATCACGTGCACGGTGTGACAGGCTTTCCTCACTCACTGACGAGGGCTTTAGTGTCGCGCACACAGATGATTTGATGCGCGCGAGTGTTTAAAAGCTGCTGTGCCTGGTTTTCTCACTTGAAGCAACCATGCCTGGAAATGAAACTTGTGCGATGCTCATGAACACACAGTGCTTCAAGGGCTTGAGATTCTTTGTAAGCAGCAGCAGTTGTTGTAGCTTTTGCTGTAACCATTCTTTAAACTGATTATTAACTGGCCTAACATTAATGGTGTGCGCGGCATCATCCTTTCATTATCCCGCACAGAATGTTTTTTTTTTATCCAGTTTCTTTTGCAAGCTGTTATTTTTGTTAATATAGTTTAATAATCATCCTTTACAGTAATATTGCTTTAATTAGTTGTTGTATGCGTAGTTAACTGGTGATCTGGGATCTTGAGCCAGAACAGAGCACTGTGCATAGTTTTAGATGCGTGAGAATATATATTTTTAAATGTCAGCTGTTTTGTTGAATAAAAAGTGTATGTATACAGCAGTATTTTGCTTGTTTTGACATATTATTTAAAATTTGTGGCAAGGAAATAATTAAAAAGGTTAAAAAAAAAGAGTTAAAATCCTTACTGTGTTGAGTCCTGAAAAGTCCTGTAAAAGAAAACTAATTGCAATGCGACACTTTTTAATGAAAGCATAACCCATTTGCTCATTGAGTAAGCTTATAAACCAAAAACAACAACAACAACAACAACAAAAAAAACTGTTTAAATGAACAAGGAGGCAGGTGGAAAACACACCAAAGTCAAATTTTTGCATATAAAATATATTTTCCCAACAACAAAATTGTGGCTAGTGAAAATGGCGAGTGGCTAGTAACGTTGGAAAACTACTACACTGCAAAAAATGCACACAAAAAAATGCTAGTCAAGCAAAACATATTGTCTTGTTTTAAGAAATAATATGCCAATATTAAGTGAGTTTTTCCTTAAAACAAGCAAAATAATCTGCCAATGGGGTAAGCAAAATAATCTTATCACAAATCGAAAAACATTGCTTAATTTAAGGAAAAACTCACTTAATATTGGCATATTATTTCTTAAAACAAGACAATATGTTTTTCTTGTCTAGAAAATGCTTCTTGATTGAAGGATTTTTATATATTTGGATTAGAAACAAGTCAAAAAATCCAAGGGCTCTATTTTGACGGTCCATGCGCAGAGCGCAAAATGCAGGGCGCAAACGCTTTCAGGGCGTATCAGAACGCATTTTTGCTAATTTAAGGACGGGAAAATCCGCTTTGCGCCGTGGCGCATGGTCTAAAAGGGTTGAGTTTATTTTCTTAATGAGTTATAGGTGTGTTTTAAGAATAAACCAATCAGAGTCTCATCTCCCATTCCCTTTAAGAGTCAGCTGCGTCGAGCCATAAGCGCATTCGCTATTAACAGGACGCAAAGTAAGTCTAAGTGGAAATACTGAGCATTTCACAAGCAAACATTTAACAGTTTTTTAACAGAAAACTGTTAAACAGAGCATCTACTTCGTGAGAATGAGAGATAAATTATCACTTTCACTTTCGCTTTTGGATAGGGAAACCTTTACGCACAGACATCAATTAGCCTATAAATAATTAATTTCGTTTGTTAAGCGCAAAGATTTGTTTCAAAACTATTTCTAAATTCAGTTCTAATTTCCAGTAAACGAATAAATGAACAATATTAACGAAGTGTGGTCAAAAAGCAGTGGTTTTTCATATTTATGTAGGCTAGAAAATAATATGTTTTATAATATTTTAATTCTTTATATTTATATCCTATATCTATTCTTATTATATCCTATATATTTCCTTGATATTTAAATTTTTTCATATGTAAAGACATTTGCCTATTGCTCTACATCTTGTGCGTATTAAGCAGTGTGTAAGCGAGGCACAACTCTGCGCCAGAGTTTAGACCGGGTTTGTTTTGGTCTAATGAAAAATCTATTTTAGTTTCTCAAAATAGCAACGCACCGGCAGTGCACCTCAGAACGCCTTCCTTTTTAGAACAGAACACCTATAGGCTCACAAATGAGCGCTAATGCATTTGCTATTTAAACAGCACAGCACAACGCCTCAAAATGACTCTTGCGCCAAGCTGAAACTACCAATCAAGTATTACGCCGCGCCTTGCGCCACATTGCGCCTGGTGTATTATAGGGCCCAAGTAAGAAATAATTTTTTGCAGCCACAGCGGCTGCTGATCAAAAAAGGTAATGTCAATGATGTCTGTAATTCAGTCTGACTGGAACACTGTATATTCACTGTATGCATGCTCTTCAACTAGTGTGTATGCTAATATGACTGATTTGTAATTTGCTTGTTTGTTTGTTTCAGGGTGTGCAGGGTTTACCGGGACTACCAGGACCTCGTGGAAAACCAGGACCACAGGTTGGTTTCTTTACATTATTGTCTCTCATTTAAACTGAATTCTAATACATACAGCAGTGTATAGAGTTGCAGTTCTGTTTGTTTTATTTGACCGGTATAACAAACATTGAGTAATTGCAGTTTTAATGTAAAAGAGTGATTAGTACACAGGTAAGAAACAATGCAAAAAAGGGATTTTATATACATAGAAAGTGTAAAGGTACTTCCCAAATTACATATTTAAGCACATTCTACGCCATTTAAATAGTGTAAGTAGTGCGTTCACATTGAAAACTCTAAAAATAATAAGTGCACTTTAATTACCCGGATGATGCATTTATTTAGAGGGCAACGCAGTGGCGCAGTTTGTAGTGCTGTCACCTCACAGCAAGAAGATCGCTGGTTCAGTGTGGAGTTTGCATGTTCTCCCTGCATTTACTTGGGTTTCCTCCGGGTGCTCCGGTTTCCCCCACAGTCCAAAGACATGCGGTACAGGTGAATTGGGTTGGCTAAATTCCTGCAGGGTTTAGCTCCAACTTGCCTCAACACACCTGCCTGGATGCTTTAAGTATACCTAGTAAGACCTTGATTAGCTTGTTCAGGTGTGTTTGATTAGGGTTGGAGGTAAAATCTGCAGGACACCGGCCCTCCAGGAACAAGCTTGGTGACCCCTGTTCTATTGAGTTCAATTGTCGCCTCTTGGTCATTCTAAGCTCTTTGCTACTACTACTACTATGTTACTGCACATGCTGCTCAATCTGCTCAATTAATGTGCCAACAGGATATTTCTTGTATAGTCAACTTGTTTCTGCTGCTTGCAACAGCGCTATTGTGCTGTCATCAGTGGTGTAGTCCTTGCTATATGCACGTATACTCAGTATGCTTACTTTTTTCCATGAGCTGTTTGGTACCACTTCTGAGTATCAAAAATTGAGTATACCCTCAGTATACTCACTTGTTTTTCTGATTAAACTTCCCTAATTTACATGTATTTGCGTCCCCTTTAACTGTATACCAAACGGGTTTTTTTTTTTAACTCACAACTTAATTTGTTAAGATGTGCCTATCTCTTACAATTCTTACCTAAATATATATATATATATATATGACACATTTTTCTTTGTTTACCCCAAAAGGATCTGATCCTGATCACCCCTAAAATTAAAATCCTAAAATCGCCCCTGTAAAACAGTATTTCACATTTGTCTTAATTGTGCCGCTAGTGAACGACACTATACCGTATATAACACTAAAAACAATTAGGCAAAGACTACTCACAAATCCCGTAACAATGTGCGATTTAAAAGGGTAACTGCTAGTATATAATAGCGACAACAGAAGACAGACTCTTAATAGTTTGGTTTAAAACAAGCATGCACGAATGTGACAATTAAAATAATTGCTGATTGATGCTTAAAGGAACCTATAAAATGTAAAGTAATAAGCCAGTAAAGAAAGTAAGCTAAAAAGCTGTCTTTTCATGTATGCACAGGCCCTTTTGAGTTAACTTAAATACAGGTAACTGATGTAAAAAAAAAAAAAAATTATATATATATATATATATATATATATATATATATATATATATATAATCTCCAATGAATCGAAGAAACATTGACTTTCGTCGTTTCTTTGCCTACTTTCATTTAAAATTTGTGTCGATAGTAATACTACCACCTTTTTTTCTAGGACTACACCACTGGCTGTTAAGGTCAAAAAATGTTGCTGTCAAAAAAATCTGGTTATTTGATTGGCTTATGTGTTTTCAATTCTGTATATTTTAAGTAACTGATTTAGTTCAATTTAAAAAGTCGCACAAAATGACTTTATATTATCTAATCTAACGATAAACAATTATAAAATTATTATAAAGCATTTTTGGTTTTGGTTTTTTTTTTGGCACAGACTTATAATTTCAGTCTATTTCTAAAGCGCATTATATACCAGCTTAAAGCTCATGGTCAGCATTTGTGTGTGTTTTGTGTGTTTTGAAGGGCAAGACAGGAGAAATAGGGCCCAGTGGATTACCAGGCCCACCAGGACCTGAGGTATCCATCAACATCACCTAACGTCTAATATTCTCATGTCACGAATATCACTTATGCTGATTGGTCGATTTGTGCTTTATCCTTTACAGGGTTTTCCTGGCGATATTGGTAAACCGGGTCTCAATGGACCTGAGGGGCCAAAGGTGTGTGTGTGTTATTGAAATAAACTCTGTGACTGGGATGATGCGCACATGTTTTTGTAGCTTCATGCTGGCTATTTGTTCTTCATAGGGTAAACCTGGAGCCAGAGGTTTACCGGGACCTCGTGGAGCCGCTGGACGAGAGGTGTGTTTATGTGTGGTTTGTACAGGTACTTCATAAATGGCTTTTAAATAGACGGCTTGTTAATCATGTTCAATTGTAGGGTGACGAGGGTCCTCTAGGACCACCGGGACCATTCGGACTCGAGGTGAGTGAAGATTTGCATGTAAATATGACTACATTAACCCTTGATTGTTTGTTGGCGATGCTAATGTTGATCCTGTTTGTAGTCTTTTTTTTATAATGGATTTTGTGTAGGCTTTAAGTGAGGTGTTACCAAAATAACAAATTGATTATTTTAATTTATATGTGGTTTACCATTTTTTTCTGCTGTTTTTTTAATGTTTGACACACATTGGCCTTGATGTTAGACATTTTTATTTGCTCTTTTGAAAGTAAATATTAAACACCTGTGAATGCTTTAAATTAGCAATATTTATTGTACAGCATAGTATTTTTTTTTTTTTTTCATTTTTTTAAATATTGGACTATATGTTTATATCATGTATTGGAAATGTGTCTTTTTGATTTTTCTGATAAGTTTATATAGTTGTCAACATTTGAAGTGGATTAAAAAAGTAAAAAAATATATATACACATATAAAATATGTATTTTTTTACTTTTTTAGTCCACTTCAAATGTGTATATATATATATATATATATATATATA